CCCCCACCCCCCCCCCCTCCTGCCCACGTACTGGCCTTGCCCTATGCGCCATGTCAAAAACATTTATTGTTCTAATCGTATCACAAGTGCTTGAAGGTGGGTTTTTTCCTCTCCATTTTTAGTTGTCAAAAGAGAATGAAACAGTAAGAACATGGATGGATAAACAGATACCAGAAGCTCTGTGTCGATCCCTTGCAAATACAAGAACAACTGCATCAGAAATATATTCAGTGCCGCTCCCGTGTACATTTCTTGACTCTATGCCACTTTTGTACAGGAATTGGGCTCTCTCATCACCCGCAATGAAAGTTTCCCTGGACATGGCATGATCTGTAACATACAATATATAGTATCAACTTCAAGAACCTAGTGTTGTAAATCTGGATCAAGAATTGCAAAATCTGGATCAAGAATTATAAGTGATTTCTTAATTTATCAACTAAATAGATATATTTTTGGATATTTTCTCTTTATTATAGTTATTAAACTCTTCACAACGTATCAACACACTGTAACTTCTTGATCAAGAGCTTAGCCTAAGCTGAGCTTTTTATTAAACCGAAATATATATTAGCATGGTCAAATCTATGTTACTTGGCCCAGTTAATTTCAAGAAATTTATTTTTTATTTGTTTAAAATAATATTTTTATTATTATTTTTTATTTAAAACGATATATTTTTAAGATAAATCTGAGTTGAGATAGCAAACTCATTACTAAGTCTTCAGCCAAGCCAGACTCCATATCAGGTAACTATATGCGTTTTAGGAATCGGGTTTATAATGGTTGGAAGAAAGGAAATCAAGAAAATATATCTTGTAAAAGAACAAAAATGGTGGTGTAAGGATCAAATTCAGAAAAAGAATTATAATAAAATGGACTAAGATTTTCAATAATTGCATTAGTAGTTGTTGCCTTCTCTCAGCAGTCCCAAAAGTTAAATATTAGCTCTCTTTGCTGCCTATATATATTTTATGTGGGCAGGACGAGCCTCGATGTATTTTCCTTCGAACAAAATCAAACAAAAGTAAACTCAAAGATCGCTTGTCTAGAAAAACTCACCCAACTTTTCCATGACAGGTTTTTGCTCGGCCTTTTCACCCTACAGAGGAACAAAATTCACATCTCATGATTTTAGCAAGAAATTCCAGTCCTGAGTCGGCCGGGTTTCAAGTCAACCTATCAAGCCAGATTGGGTTTTGGAACTATACAATTAATTATGTGCAAGCATGAAAACATGCATTAACTTACTCCGAACATTATAACGAGAGCCGGTGAAGTGGAACCAGAAACATTTGCTGCGTAATTCCTAATATCGATCACAAACTTATCAACCAATGCCATTCGACTAGCTGCCTGATGTCACCATGTCAACAAAAACACTCAAGATCAGTATCAGAAGTGGCAAATGCGTGGCTATGAGTTACCAAATGTTTAGCATGTTCATAACCTATTTATTTTTTGAAGAATATACCCTCATTTTTGTAATCCACTTTATCCTCTATCCTATGTATCTTCCAATAAATATTAATCTATTTAAATTTTTTTATATTTGTAATTTTTATAATTGTGACATTTATGAATTCTAATAATAATCCATAAATATATAAAATAATAGTAAATCCATGATCACTGTTGACATTTAATTTTTCTAATTTGATACACTATATATGACAATCATATGGCATTTTATCCTATTTGGCTTTTTTTAGGGCAATACAATATTGTTGAGTCATTATTAGTTGCTGTCAAAGAAAATTGAGAGTTGTTGAGATTCAAAACTATATTTAGAAAAACGATATATGCATATGAAACATAGGAGTAAAGACTTTACATTTTATATTAATCGCTAATATTTTCTTCTTTCACACACATTTTCAAATAAAAAATATATATCATTAATTAAAGATGCATAATTAATTGAATCACTCAATTATTAGTTTCAAAAACACATTAAACTACTCAATTCTATGCTTGAGCCTCAAGAGACAAAATACATTGGACAGTTGGCAGATTAGAGTGACACATATTAATAATGTTTAGATTTCTTGGCACTTAACATTTTTTTATATTTTTTTTTAATTTATACTCTATTTGTAGCGATTTCCAAGTTTTGTAACAAATATCTTTTTTGTTTTTTTGCTTTGGATATCCTCTAAGCCTTGTTTATTTTAGTGTTTCAAAAATGTTTTTTTTAATATATGTTTTATTTTTTTCCTTACTTCATATTAATATATTTTTGGTATTTTGAAATCATTTTGATGTGTTGATATTAAAATTAATTTTTTTTAAAACAATATTATTTTAATATGTTTCTAATTGAAAAACATCTGCAAACACACACCTAAATAGATAATATATATAGCTTTTGTAATATATTTCTTATAATTTGATTATAAAAAGAGACGTTGGACAAAAAAAATGATTATAAATACCAGACATATAACATGTTGCACTCAATATAAAACCTACAACCTACACAAATGAAAATTGCACAATTAAAAAAAATTAATTAAAGATTGACAAAAATTAAAAGAATTGATTGCTAGAATTTCATGAAGAGAGCTTCAAAACAATACAGCTAGCACGCTACAATGGTGTTGAAGTCAAATCAACCCGACACCATGAATAATATTGTACATAAAAGTTCTTATCTAATAACTTTAGATAATAACTTTTAGAAAAAAAAGACGATTTCCTATGCTATATCAGAATTCAGTATCATGGTTCTATCATCGAGATTCTAATTGTAGGGCATGATTATCTCTCCATTAATTTCCTTTCTTCCAAACTATACAAAGTAGACTGACTTTTGTGGCTCTCCGTGATGCCATTTGAGAAGGAGCAAACAAGCTCTCTGAAATATCATTTTCTAAATAATGCAAAATTTCTGACCTTTCTTGGCCGTAACAACGGGATAGCTTCAACTTGGAGTCCCGGTAAGAATCCCACAGTCAGCAGGACACCAAAGCCTGAATTTTTTGATGCAGCATCAGCCCAAAAATCTTCTAACATAACCTGCATGCAAATTTGTAGATTACCAAGCCAAGAATTCATAAAACCTTTCATCTTTCTTAAGAACAAGAGAAGAAAAAATGTTAAAAAGCGGTGACCTCTTGATGTTCATCAGTAGCAGCATCTCTTCCTATGATTCCATTTGCACAAGACACAATAATTGGAGTTTTTGAACCAAGTTTCGCTGCTAACTGCAACATATACCATACAGAGTAACATAGAATTAGATTAACAAAAAAAAAGGAAGAAGTGGAAGTAGAAGAAGGTCAAAAAGAGTTAAAACTAAGAAGAATAAAAAAGAGACATCAAAATATTATTAACTTGTGTTATTTTGTAGCTCGAGTAAACATTAACCCCTCTTCCAAGGGCTTTAGGATCGAGTTTTTCCTTCGTAACAAGAAATAAAAAAGCAAAGTTTACTGATAAATCTTACAAAATTGAGGGTTTCACTCAAATCAACACCACTCCCAATAACATTTGCAATGGCAAACTGGGGTCTAATGGGCTCGGAGAGAACCTTATTCACAACCTCTTGTGATGCAACCTGTTTGATCATCATGAATTAAAACGCACTCAAAGTCAATTCAAGTTAGAGATTTACCATAAAATATAATGGCATTTGTAGGTTTTCATTCGAAGGCCCAACAAACCTTCTGGTCTGGGTTGAGAGAAAAGGCAGAAGCAAGCTTTGGTTTGGAAAGGATTTGATTGCAAGTTTGGTTCCATGATTTGCAAACACAAGCAGCTGATGCAAAGGATGAAGCTGGTGTTCTCTTCAGAATGTTTTGAACAAGGTCTTCGTTTAATGACGCAAAGCCTGTCAATGGCGTTCTTGCTTCTTTAGGTTTCTTCTCCATTAATTGATAGATATCAGTAATGGTGCAACTGATGCTTAACCTCAACGTGAGGGGTGCCAATATATGGAGAGCTCAACAGGAAGTCAATTGCTAACAGTGAAGTCTCCGGCCAATAATCAACTTGGAAGGGACTGGAGGGATCAACAAGCGCGTATGAGGGCACCCATCAGCATTCACATAATTTTTTTTAGGGTTGACTCTTCTTTCTTTCTTTTTTATGATGTGTAAAGGTGTGTTTGTTCTCACGAATAAAAGCATGAATTTCATGATCTTACTGCAGTGCATCACAAATCAGCTGCGAAGCTAAAATAACATCATTTTTTTTTTCTTTTCAAGCAAGCTTGAATATCCTTAAAATGATTTAACTATATATTTACTCTAATACACATTTATATATATTATAGATCTTGAGTATAATATAATGACATTACATGCGATAAATATTCATTTTTTAAAGTAGTTAAGTGTTATTATATACGCCTTAAAATATTGAAATTATAAAAAAAAAAATACATTAAAATATGTGAGAAATATTTCATATATCATAATATTAATTGATTGATATCGAAAGTTAATTCTCGTATGAATCAAAAACCTAAAATGGCTTCCAAAACAACTTTGAATTCTTATACATCGATCAAAGGGAGACTTGAACGATGGTCTCCAAGTGTATTAGTTGTTTGAAACGTGAACAGTTGGGCCTCAGATTCAATATTGGACATTATTGATCAGGGACCAACCAAAATAGACCGTTGACATCCTGTAAGACTAGAAAAGTCGTTCGCAATAATGGTGTAGACATATAATTCAGGAAAGAGAAAGGTCTGATTCTCTCAATACACATAAGGTCACAAATAGTTGTGGATGAGGATTTGGACTTCGAATTAATTGAGGAAAAATAAGGGAAGAGCATGAAAGATTTGACTGTTAGAATTGATTTGAGAAGCGATCCATCGTTTACAAGGTTGCAAGAAGGCAGTCAGAGGATCGTTTGTTTGAATTCTGTATCCAGTCTTGGCCTCTTTTGATTTTGCTTGTTTACAGCCGTAAGTATCAGATTGTCAGTCACTTTTTGCAACAGATGTTTTGGGTGCAATTTAATCTTAACATTATTTTTGAAAGCCAAGTTAACTCGAATTTAATTTCAAATAGACAATTCAGGCTCAAATATCATCATTCATCTACATTTATTAAATTTGGTGTGGTTTAATATTTTTATCCAAAACTCAGCTGATTCGGTTTTTAGTTTAGGCCTGATATTAAAAAAATATTAACTTATAATTTACATGGTTATTTCACTTCCTAAAACTTAAGAGATTGTTATTTTGATTCACTCAGCTCAACTCATCCAACTAGTAATCCAGGCTTTGATATAGGTTAGTGTCGAGTTTAAGACATCACATTCATCCTTCTTTAAAGACCGACCCTCCCTAGTTTAAAGCAAATATCATCATCTATCAACAATTATTAAACTCGGCTTGTGTCGTCATGTTGATCTAAGATCTGCTAACCTAGTCCCTGGTCTAGGTCGAGTGTTAAAACAAGTTAAGCCAAAATTAATTTAATTTGAACCAATTAACTTAATATGACTATTTATAGTCTGATCTGCTTAATTAAAATCCAGTTTAATTTTAAAAAATAAAATAAAATAACATAATATCATTAATTTATTAAAGTCAACTTGAATAAATTCACCTAACTCATGATTAAGGGTTTGACCAAGGTTATAAATTAAACTGGTTTTAATAAGTTTATATTCATACTTATTTGAAGATATTTTAAAATAATTTTTATTTAATTTTAATATAAAAAATATTAATTTAATATTTTTTTAAGTAAAATATACTTTTAAAATGTATTCAAGTATATTTCTAAATTAAAAAAAAAATCTTTAGTAAGGAATTAGTCTCCCTTGTTCAAAGCAAAATGAAGACGTACAAGTCATCAAGTTCTATTCACACTGTCCCTAGCTTCAAAAATTAGTTAAGAGGTCATAATTTTGTTTTGGCAAATCTCAAAGAAACCCCTCGACTATTGGATTGTCATCTTTTAGCTGCAAGCAATTTTGATTTCGTCAATTGAAGCCTTCTATCAAAATTCTTTAATAAAAAAAAAACCAACAACAACCACAATTTTGATGGAATCTGCTATCAAATATGGATGGAAATACTTGGTTAAATTTTTAAAAAACTATAGGCGACACAATTGCTATCCACATGACTCTACCTGGTCCAGATTTGTAGTTTTGTGCAATTTGGCAGGAGCAACTTCCCTTTGCACCTAAGACAATAGTGGTGGGGCTCGATCCTGGTGGATATGAAAGAAAGTGTGACTACTGAGAGAGATTTTACCACTTTTCCAGATGGACTCATAAGATATTTTTGCATCAACTACTGGAAGCAAAGCTGAGGCAGATAGGATTTTTTTTTTTTTTTGGCTTGAATCAGTTTTGGTGGTCTCAACCTGAGCTCAAAGCATCACAAAAAACAGAACCCAAATCTTCACTTCTCGGACCAAAACCAAGATTTCTATCAGCAAGCATGGAAACCTCTTCAGTTCTGTCACTCTCTCAGCTCTCTTTTTTCTTACCGAAACCTTACAGGAACAAAGCTTATCCTTCTTGGCCATGCAAGATACCAAGAACCACTCAACCAACTCGCTTGTACTGCCAAAAGATGTATGTCCCTGGTGGGTGTCACACAGAGAAATATACATCTTTGTGTTTCTTTATCTTTTTTAAGTCTTAATTGTTAGATGTATTATGTAGGATTTGGAGAAGCATCACCAGAGAAAAAGGCAGCAAAAAACCTGCATGATTTCTTCACTTACATTGCTGTTAGAATTGTCACTGCACAGCTGGAGGTTCCTCCTTTCCTTGCTGCTGAAGTCTCATCTGTTTTGTTTATAAGCTTACGATTGTTTATTTGGATGATTTCATCTGTTAACAATTATTTCCCAGAGCAGAGCTATAGCCCCGAAGCATATGAAGAGTTGATGGAGTTTTTGAATAGGCATTCCTTGAATGATGGAGACAAATTTTGTGCTGAACTGATGAGGGAATCTTCTAGGCATAAGGGTTTGGGTAATGCTATCCACACATCTCTTACTGGTTCTTAATTTTCTATTTCTGTTCTTAATTCTTCCTCTCTGACATTATATCCTTTTTTCTCTCAAACGTGCCCAAATCCTATGATTCAAATTACAACATCATGTCCACATTACAGCTATGCGAATCTTAGAGGTCAGCACACTTTTTATTCTTGTTCAAAATTTCATTTTTTTAATCCAGAAATGCCAGCCACATCTGCATGTATTGATCAACAATAATCTGAATCTATGGCAAGTTGCTGTAGGTTCGATCTGCGTACTGTAAGAATGATTTTGAGTGGGACAACTTGAAGAGATTATCAGTGAAGGTCAGAATTCAGTCATTTTGTTTCTGATGCTTCTTGCCATTGATAAATGATGGTGGATAACTCTTCTTATTGTTTCGTGGTTCTTTGGCCTCTTTTTTACAGATAGTTGATGAATCAAACACAAGGATCATGAGAGATTATGTTGTCGAAACAAGCCCCACTAAAGAAAGTGAGAAGTGATCAATCTATATTCACCAGTTGTTGTATCTGTCTGAATCCATCCAGTGTTCTGGCCTGATTACACCATATACCCATGTTATGCAATAGAAATATCCTTCTGATATGAGCTATGATAGCCATTCGAATGGTTAAGGTTCCAAAGTACGATCGCAGGCGTTGGAGACCAAATTATTGTAACATATGAACACAAGAGTTAATTAATGAAGATTACGCTAGATATCTTTTTAATGTAATGCTTTCTAGTAGTCAATCCGTATACATTGTTGACATTTTATTGGTTTCTTTTTCCACATAAAAAGGAAATTGCAAAACAAATATACGAAGTTACAGAAACAAACACAGGAAGTGAAGCAACAAGAAAGACGTCTTCTGTCAACCTGGAACAGAGTGCGGCATCTTCTTGAACCTAATTTGATCAAAGCTCATCCAAGACCATGAATTGAGCAAGACATGAGCTTCCCTTCCTTTGTATTCTTAATAATCAACAAATGCAAGAACTAACTAAACTGGAAGCAAAATTATGTACTGGATGTTTGTCCTGCAAAGTTAATCTGCAGTCGCCTCATGTTCCTTCTGTGGCTACAGACAATAACCAAATCAGAGAGGGTAAACAAAATGAGGGTTTATTGTTTATTGAAAACACAGATGATTCCATGATTGACTAGCTCATACATCGAAAATGAAGAATCATGCTATATATGGAAAACATGTTACCATGGTATAGAGGCGAATGTCACTCGAAGCATGTATATGCCCAGTGCTGAAATATGATTAAGCATATTCTTCAATGTGCTCCACCCTGCAAGTCATTTTCAATATATCATGTCATTTGAGGTTGAAACTTAAGCGAAATAAGAAATTATCAACCACAAATCCATTAAAAAATGTCAAAAAATACCAATTCCTTTTGTAGCAAATTATCAAGACAAGGTACTGTTACTGGTTTGATTATGGGGCAGGTCTTCTAGGTAAAAGCTGTCAAATATTAGATCTAAGGAAGCACAGACACGAATACAAGCTATAGGTAAGACATGATACGGATACGTTGGTACATCAATTCTTGAGAATTTAGGATGTGATACATTGTGGATAGGGAATTATACCAGCAATGTTCATCAATTATTGTCCATCTATAGTAAGTACATTAGTTTAATATAAATTCAAACATGCAAAATATTATTTTTTTCAATATAAGAATGGATGAAACAGCACTAAAGAAGTAACAGGGAGGTCCCAGATATATTTATGGAAGCATTTTTTAAATATCCCAAGTATCCAAAAGGAATTACAATTTTATTAATTTTGAATGCGCTTTAGAAGAATTTCATACGTATCTAGAAATACTGGATCATTTATCGAAATGGAAACAGGCTCGATACGGAAATGTGAGGGATTTTGAAGCATCTGTGCTTCATAGGTTAGATCTAATCCATTCTGTGAGTATTATATGTGGAACCAGCCTTTCCTTTGTTCAATCATGCACAATATGAAAACAATGCTGGTTTTGTGAAGAGAGTCACCTGTACATGTAGTTCACCATGATACATCCACCTTGACGAAGACCTTTCTCAGACCGGCCTGCCATCCAATTTAATCTTTCAACCATCTGTTCCACATTGCAATACATAACTTCAGTGTTCATAAATTTTTCAACCTGGAGATCATTTTGTTTCTAATCTTCCCAACTTTCAGATGACA